GAATTTATTTAGGCAACGGATTTATAGTACCGAGCGGAGCGAGCGGCAGGAGTTCTAATTATGATCGGTTAACTCGAGTTATTTTAATGGAATTTCCAAACGGGCGAACATTAGAATTCGTTGCAGAATGTAAAATTGACTTGGACGAGAGAAAGAGACTTGTTCTTTATAATTAGCAAATTAATAATATAACGAATAGAATAGTGCACTCTATGTATTTCTTCCTGCGATAAGTATGACCTGAGAAAGACCACAAAGATATTTCGCAGAAACAGCAGGTGTAATTAAGGTTTAACGTGAGTGAATAATGTAGAGGGAAAGAGGCAAAGAGTAGCGGAATAAAAGTGTGATAAGAGAAAATATCGCTGATGCATTACTTCAATTCAGTCGAAGTGTTTTCCTTTTTTCCCTTCAAGAGAATAAATTCTGCCATGTGTTGCGAAAAATAACAGTTGCGTAAGGAAGAACAGGTTCCAATGTCGTTCGAGAATATCGCTCTGTTGCGCGGAATATAGAATTGTTTTGATTCAAGACGGTGAAACATTATTATTATGAAATATAATATTTGCTGAATATAAAATTCAGGACAACAATTACAAAGAATATGCAGCCGGAAAAACTATAATCACATATTGGTAACAATTATAAAAGAACAGGCAAAAGTTTGCGATAAAGTAAACGTCACAGCGTGGAGGAGCGAGGCGCTGTTTCTTATTCTTCTGACAGTGGCGACGACATTTTAATTTCATGGGACGTTAAATACATTCTCGAAGACAAAAGAGAGAGCGAGAACGAGAGAGAAAGAAAGAGAGAGAGAGAAAGCAAAAATGAAGAAAGTCTGCGCTAAAAGAAGAAAAAAGAAAGAGCGTAGGGAGTGACCGTCCTATGACTCTCGCGAGTACAAGTTACCTGGATTTAATGTAGAATCCGTGGCTAATTCAGAAATTTCGCGGTTTAAATTTTATTCAGGAGACTCGACCCGCTTCTCTGGCGAAATTTCTCCATTATCTACACACTTTCGTGTGAACCGAATTTAGCTTAGCTTCATTTATCTTATTTTAACCGTCGCGCGTGGTCAGTGCGAGCGATAACGATAACTCGCAAAAATAACAGTTATCAATAAATCAATTAATCGCTGATGAATGGATTCCGAAAGTTGGTGCGGCAAGACAAAAGGGGAAAATATCGGGGCCGCCTTTCGCGGGCTAAAGTCAAGCGGAATCAAATACAAATCGAAGTACTCGACGTTATCCCGACGATATCCCAATCAACTTGGAGTTTCCTATGAATTATTCATATCACGATCTGAGTGAAATATCGGAAATACGTCACTGTAAAGCCCGCCTGACTGGACATTGCACGGAGTAAGTCTGGAAGAGATACGCCTCTATTCCGAACATCCCGTATTAATCTTCAGTCATTTGTAGCAGACGATTAAAAATAGAATTTTCTTTATTTAGAATTCAATTGGAATATTACACGTGTCGCGCCATGACACGCCGGTGCATGCATTGATAATGCATATTGGAAACCGATATTATAATCAGGCAATTTTTCTGCGAAATTCTAAATGAAAAGAAGCGAATTCTTTTATGACAGGTTGAGCAGAAATAATCGCGAATTGATTTCGTATATTTCATAAAAGTATCTCGTTAGAAAACTCTAAATAATTTAACAAAACCTTCATATATTTTTTGATGATATGCACCATTATATACACTGTAAGAAAAAACATCTAAAACGTGACAAACATTTATTGGGTGGGTACTAATAATATATTTATTAATATAAAATATTCATCAAGTAAGAAAATATACGTTAAGAATATTCAATTAAAACCGGTTTCAATTATATCCAGTTTACTTACTGCATAAAGTTGAGCTAAAATAAATGATTTTCTTAGGTAAAGTTTTATGATATTAAAGAAACCAAGTTCTTCTGCGTACATAACAATGAACTATTCTTATGATAAACTTGTGATAAATACATTTAAAAATTATTAAGAACACACTATTAAGAACACGTTCTTTGCTGAAGATAACCTTTACTTCAAAGAAGGAAAGTAAGCTGAGTGTTTCGCTTTTCTTAGCAATAGAATAATATTTTCTCTATGTAGTATCCACCGCAGAAATATTTACAATTTTTTAAATATTTTTTTTCTCAGTATAAATTTTGTATAGACGTAATCTCATGTTTAAGTCAAAATAATGATGAAACTAAGCTCAAATTAATTAGACCGTAAAGCTTCTCAACATTATTTTCCAATGCTGTTCAGCAGTCTCGTTAGAATATATCGTCATAACAATTTAATATGCAATTAATCATTTAATTGCAATCCAAAGAGAAAGAAGAGCATAAAATTAAACAGTCGACCGCAAATCTGTGCTTAGTTTCGTATTATAACTTTATTTCACCGTGATAAAAATATTCACTCACCAGTGGATGTGTCGCTGTCGTTACTCCGTCGTTCCCATACTCCGACAGCTCGCCTCCATCTCAAGTTGCTCCCTGCATCTTCGTCTTCATTTGCGAAACTCAGGTATACACACACACATACACACACGTACGAACGCGATCGTGTCTCGCGGAAAATGCGGCTGAAGTATAAGAACGCGCGCCAAACTAACTTCACCGCGTCGATCGCGCGTTTCCAAGTACGGCACTCCCGGACATCCGCTCTTAGTCCGTATCATCCCTGTGATCATCCCTGTGATACATTCCGAGCGGATAAGTAACGCGAAGCACAACTACTACTTGCGAGACGTTGTTGCAGAACGCCGGACACGCTTCGTGTTTCTCGAGCCTTCACGAAGTCGTCGACACGATAATAGCTATCGGAATATCTAACATGCGCCTTAGCTACGAGTTCATCGTATTCTTCAGTAACGATTAATGAGTCCAACGATCACCTGATCTATTACTGCTCGAGTGATCCGACGGAAATAACAGGTGTAAGGGAAAACTCACACCTTAGATTAAATTAGGTTATTCACACCATAAGGACAGTCTACAATAGGAGTAAAATATGGCTGTAAGAAGTCAGAGTAAGAAATTGACTAATCACAGTCGATTATTCTTCTCCCATCGACTGTAACTGAACAATTTCTCTTATTTCTTACAGCCATACTTTATTCTTATTGTAGACGATTCTTTAGGCTGAGTGTACAATATATGGAATAAGCTTGATAAGAAGTAAGAGTAGAAATAAAAATAAAAATAATTTATTTTGTTTATATACTTGCCTGTACTTTAACTTTTTTAAACCGGAAGTGTTTCTTTAACTGAAATACTTCCGATATAAGAGAGTTACAGTATAGGGGTAAGCAAAATAAATTACTTTTATTTCTTATTCCTACTCTTACTTTTTACACTAAGTTTACTCCATATATTGTAGACCAAGCCTTAGCAGAAAAGCGGAACTCGCGTTAGTGGTCAGGTGGCAGCAATGATACGCATTCGAACCCGAGCTAGCAAACGTTTTTCTCTCTCCAATTACGCACACAGACCGTTCTATCTATCCCTGTGACGATCGTCGTCACAGTTCCTGCCGTTGACAGTTTCTGCTTGTCTCGCGAATTGTGACTGATTCTACTCTTTTAAAATGAATCAGTGAAACATCACTGAAAACAGTGAATATACACTGATTTGCAGTTATAAGTGTTGCACTGAAAGTGCTCAGTGCTATACTTATAACTGATATCAGTGACTATTCATTGATTCATTTTAAGAGAGTACCGTTCCGTTTTCCGCTCTTCTATCAAAGTGATGTTCTCCCTAGGAGACGCCGACTCGACACGTCGCGACAAGCATTGTTTGTATATAACGAGATTAGTCTCTAATAATGTACTTACGACACGTCCCGACGATCGCACATCGTTGCCTTCGATACTTTCGATACTTATTTCCGCGCAAAACTCACTTTTAATGGACAAAACAACACGCGGAATGCGGAGTGAAGTCGATCGATGTATCAACGGTGGCTATTCGGTATAAAGAGAACTAAGATGGCCGCGCAATTGATTACGCGCGCCGTAAATCGCGCTGCCAACGTTGCCGCGCTCGCACTACACGCACTCTACACAGTCAGGTGATCAAGTGTAACAGGTGTACAAAGTGTAGCAAGTGTAGTTTTTCTCAATGAGTTTCACAACATATTCCGTACGTATCCAATAGGAAAACGCGTCTCCTGAGAATTACTGAAAAGAAAAAGAAACGAATTCTCGAACTGAATACGGAACGCGTTATAAAACTCGTCGAAAAAGAAACAGCATAGCTACCTTTAACCAGTTGACTGCACTGTTCTGCAGATGTTTTGTCGTTCGATAGATCGATAGTTACTAAATAATTCCGACCTTGTTCCGCATTTGTTTCCAGCATATCGCGTTTCTCATAACACGTTAATCGGGAAGATATGCTCGCGCTTTCAGACGTTTCCATGATATATTCCGAGCGAATAAATATCGCGAAGCACAACGATCACGTTTTTTGCTCACTCACGAAGTCATCGACGCGACAATCGTTGACAGAACATCGAAATTTAACGCTTGACAATTGACAACTTACGATGATCGTTGTCTGATAGCAAACTGCTATCTTCGTCTAAATTTCCGAAAGTCAAGCATACACATGTCGTGCGCAATCGAATTTCTCCGGAAGACGAGATTAGAGTATAAAGATAGAGAACAAGAGCAATTGCAGATCAGGCTTTGCAAAGTCGCCGACACGGCAATCGTTACCGGGAACATTGATGTTTCACTCGCGAGTATGTTACGTTATATACGTCCAACTCGCGAATATACCGTCTCAATAATGCGCGATAATTAACAATTCACGGCGATCGCGAACAGCGCCCGGCTCGCGCGGCTCCAAGCGAGCTACTGTGCGTGTCTCAATGTGACAAGCAAGTCAAAACAAAACACGCTCGCTCGCTCGCGCTTGTCAACAAAGGCAACCGGGTGTCCAAATAGAACCGTTACCACCGTTATCACCATGCTCTCGTTTTTAACATGATCATTATCTGAATGATCTCATGAACATTTTGTGTCGTATCACGATCTATACTTTCTCTCAACTATGTTAATTGTAATTTCAATAATTAACCATTTCGTTACGTCGTATAGTCGCTTATTATTTACTGTTGATTGAATCCTTGGGAATTATTTAAGATGCTGGACTCGTGCTTGCGCTCACAAAATTGCTTTTATCTTCATCTCGCAACGTTTTGTCCGAAATTTCAAATTTCACTGCGAATCGAGTAAATGAATGCCGAATATAATGAATTGCGCGACAAATAAATGTCAAGTACTTTCAAATTAAAGACTCTGGGTAGTTCACAAGCATGAATTAAAGGACTTTTTTGTCGGAATTTTTTTACATAGAAGTTACAACATATCGAACTTTTCAGTATGTTTCTATTATACTGTGAGGAACTTACGTGATATTTTCCATAATTGAAACTCATATTAGTTGAGTTATTGGGCGAAACGCCAGATGTTCGTGTCCTACTAGCATGCATGATCTAACCGGTTACAGCGATCTGAAACAAAACAGCAAACAAGATACTTTATAACAAACTACAAACTCACTTTAAATAAATGTGGCTATCATCTGAACTAGGATTATTGAACCAAATCAAAATTTGATAAAATGACAATATAAAAAAATAAATTGCGACCCCGTAATTTGTGTTTTGATCCTGTCATTTCGTTAAATGTTGATTTAGTTTAAAGTGAAAAAATAGTTGATCTAACTAAAATTATAATTATTTTATAACCATAATCACATTTTTTATAGTAAAATAATAAAGTAATAATATGAATATATATAAAGTTATCTTTACTAACAATATAGTTGAGTTTAATATAAAAAAACGAGTTTTCTTCACAATAATTTATAGCAATTATTTTTCTGTGTAATTATAGTTACAAATATATTTCAAATATTTTTTTTCCAGTATATAACACCCAACTAATATACGAGTTTCAATTGTGAAAAAATCATGCAACTTTTTCAAAAAAGTTAAAAATGCATGTCTTGTATAATTTCTTTGTAAAAAGTTCCACAGAAGCTTCTTTAATTCATATTTAAAAATTAATTACGCAGATCTTAACTACGCATCCTTAATTACGATGCATGGCTAATCGTTCCTCGCAATAGTCGGATCGAGGAGGTGGCGAAAGTAAAAGCTGTGCTTCGTGCATAGCGAGTAATTTGTTCTTCGTCTAACAAGCGCGGATTTCGGAAAGTGCGATTTCGTGCCTTCTTGAGCATCAAAAGTGAAGCTTCGTGGTGCGAATGAGTATTGTGAATGCCGAATTGAACAGCGGAGGATCGTCGGAATCGCGATGAAATGCGTCTCTCGATATTCGTAAAGGAGAAACTTGCGTTTACACGTGCCGCGTGTAAATTCGCTCGGACGCGGTTAAACGCACGCGAACCGCGTGGATGCCGATAATGCCCTTCTATAAAACTCGAAGCGTATCGAAAAAGGCATAAAATCCGACAGAGAAGAGGCAGAGGCGGGCAAAAAAAGTCGGAGCCCTGGAAGCACACTCGCGTAAATCGAGTTACCGCACGCTTTATTTCCCTCTGCGACTCACGGCAAGTTGGGAATTATCGTTATTTTCAGCTCGCGGCCATGAATTTAGAAACAGTCTGTACATGCTCGTACGCGCGAGCGACGGTAATTTGCCTCACAATCGGAAATAACGTTAACCGCCGTGGATCTTGCGTATCGTGAAAGTTATAGCGGAGACGTGTGACCATAAAGTGACTAATTTCTTTCTCACATAAAGGAAGGAAATTGCGCGCACATATTTCGACTCGCGTTCTTCTCTTCGAGTCACATCGATAAATTTTGAGAATTCAGGCGGAACATACACTCATCTTACATACAGAAAAATACATTCAAGTAGATGTTTCTTGTTTATAATAAATTTATATATCCGCAAATATTTATCACAAGCTCATCATAAGCATCCAATTTAATCAAAATATTTTCTAATTCATAGTAAGTTAATATACATAATTTGATATCAAGGATATCAAGTAAAATAAAACTCAATTTGCTTACTACACAATGAAAGAAAAATTTAAAAATTTATTTGTTTATAAAGTTTATTCACAGATATAAATTTTATTTCCCAAAAATAAACTTTATATGCTACAAATAAATGTTCAGGTATTTTTTCAGGTGTACATTACACTTATACTAATATAAAATATTTTTCAAATAACAAAAAAACATTTTCTCGGAACCTTAAAAAAACCTTAGCTTTTCGTAAAAACAATTGTTTATTCTGTTTAAACAAAAAAATTTTAATTTAAGTAAATATGTTATTAGTACTCATCAAACAAATATTTATTATTTTTTAGATATTTTTCTTCTCGTAGAGTCGGACTAACTTTTCTTCAATAAAATTTCATGATATTTTTGTCAAGAGAATAAATCCTTCTTTTGAGTACATAACAGTGATCTTTCCTTTAATTTACGATAAATATACTTTAAAACGTTATACGTTTATATGTTCTCAAGAAAATATTCTTTGATGAAGATAACCATTACCTGAACGAAGAAAAATAAGCTGAGTAATCTCGTTTCTTAGCAATAGAATGATATTTTTCTGTATATGCGCTTTATTTGATTAAATGCTTCAGATACTCATATGCGTATATATGTGTCGATATTTTGTTTTTGCGGAGCGGAAAGTACGACTTTAGTTCAACTTGATTAGCTCTCGGTGTAAAATTCGGCTTCAAATCAATACGGAATCCCTACACTGAGAGAAAAATTACATTAAAATCAACAAATATTTCTTTGATGGGTACCATTAATATATTTACTTAAATTTACATTCTCTTTATTTAAACCAAATATTGTTTATTTAAATCAGGTAAACAATATTTGATTTAAATAAAGAGAATGTAGATTTAAGTAAATATGTTAATGGCATCCATCAAAGAAATATTTGTAGATTTTAATATAATTTTTCTCTCAGTGTAAAATCAGATAGCATAAAAAAAGAAATTGATACACATATTTCGCTTCGCGCACTTCCTTTTGATTTAAATCGATAAATTTCGAGAATATAGGTAAAACAAACATACGTTACGCTTTCCTCGTTAAGAAACTAATGTCCGCATGTCTACGTCGATATTTTGTACTGAACAAAAAACGTCTTTATCTCCTCAGTTAATTCAGTGCAATTCTGAAGCCAATACGGAGTCCCTAAAATCAGTAACTGGTTTAGCTATTTTTATATATGACGCAAGACCAGCCTGAGGTGGGCCGATTTTTCAGTTTGCTTTACTATTTAGCATCGCGCGAGTAATGGGCAGATTCCACGTTCGCTTCACATGCTGTAGAATTTATATTTCGTCGAGTTCAACCCATTCACAGCCCCTCGCCGCCTCGTAATGTCCACCTCCAAGAAATTTTACAACTCTCTGCTGCCTTCTCCTCTACAATTCGCACTGCACATCGCCCGTTTTCAAATTAAAGGATCCTTCCAGCGAGATCTTTCTGTGTGCGTTTAGATGTGAGAAAACATTAATGGAAACGTACGATAATCCTGTTAAGCTGAATCTACAATGTGCTCTTTGCTTCCTATTTCTTGTTCTAGTTTAAAATTTGAGTTCAAAGAGTCCAAGAGAAAGAAATAAGAAGTAGAGAATACATTGTACTCGTAGATCTGCTTTAAATATCACGCAAGCAAGTGATCTCTGTCTCAGTCAGGGAAAAGTATAATCGAATAACAGTAAAAAATCAGTCCACTTCTCCAGCTCGTCTCGTGCCGTAAAGTAACTAAACAGTTACTAATTTTGGAGATTCCGTATTCACTTGAAGTTTGCACAGAGAATTGACTGTCAAAATAAGGGTTTCACGAAATTGAAAGTAGATATATATTGTTGTATCTTACGAAATTTAGAGTGGATATTCGTGTAGAAAATGTCTCGACACTTTATGCACTATAAGCCAATGAAACGAAGAAGCTTTCGACCAAAATTAGTAGATCTAAATTTTCTTTCTTTTTAACGTAATTACTAAAATATTAAAAGTATAAACAGAGAAAGTTTTAAAGTCCTATTCTGTCTGAAGAAAATTAATTTTATCAGAAAAACATGTATGTTCATTTCTTACTGATATCGCAACACATTTTGTTGGTAAAAATAATGAAAAGCTTCCTCTCTCTCTCTCTCTCTCTTCTCTCTCTCTCCTCTCTCTCTCTTCTCTCTCTCCTCTCTCTCTCTCTCTCTCTCTCTCTCTCTCTCTCTCT